GCTCCCGGCCACCACAGCCTCGACCTGCTGGGCTCCGGCCATCCTTCCGCCTCAGCCTTCCAAGGAGCTGTAACTACAGGCGTGTGCTACCAGCCTGGTTAATTTTTGATTTATTGTAGAGATGAGGTCTCACTACGTTGCCCAGGCAGGTCTCGAACCCACAGGCTCAGGCAATCCACTCACCTCAGCCCACCAAGACGCAGGATTACAGGCTGAGCCACCGAGCCTGGCATAGTTAATTTTTTGCTTAGCAGTTTTATGAACCCATCAGTTTCTTTATCAGAATTCTGGACATTTTTACTTAGTCCATTTATCTTAAAGTTATCAGAACTCTGTGTTCAAGAGTACTTGTTAGATTAACCATGAAAAACAGTTTTGGTGGCTCAAGCCTGTAATCCCAGCACTTTGATTACACTTCCTACTTGGAAAGCTGGGGTGGAAGGACCACCTAAGCCCAGCAAGTCAAGGCTGTGGTGGCCATGAGCATGCCACTGCACTCCAGCCTAGGCAATAGAGTGAGACTCCAACTCAAAAAATAAAAATAAAAGATGGCCAGGTGCAGTGGCTCATGCCTGTGATCCCAGCACTTTGGGAGATGGAAGCAAGATTGCCTGAGTCCACGGGTTTGAGAACAGTCTGGGTTTCATTTCTACAATAAATAAAAAAAATTAACCTAGTGTGGTGGCACACGCCTGTGATTCCAGCTACTTGGAAGGCTGAAGCAGAAGGATCATCTGTGCTCAGTAGGTCAAGGCTGCGGTGGTCATGAGCGTGACACTGCACTCCATCCTGGGTGACAGAGTGAGACTCTCACTCAAATATACATATATATATATATAAATACATAATGTTTTAGGCCGGGCACAGTCGCTCAAGCCTATAACCCCAGCACTTTGGGAGGCCAAGGCAAGATTGCCTGAGTTCAGGGGTTCAAGACCAGCCTGGGGAACTTGGTGAGACCATGTCTCTAAAATAAATCAAAAAATAAGCCGGGCATGTTAGTGCATGCCTGTAGTTCCAGCTACTTAAAAGGCTGAGGCAGAACAGCAGGTTGAGGCTGTGGTGGCCGTGAGCGTGCCACTGCACTCCAGCCTGGGTGACAGAGTGAGACTCCGACTCAAAAAAAGGATAATGTAGCTGGGCTCCGTGGCTCAGCCTGTAATCCCGTGCCTTTGGGAGGCGGAGATGAGTGGATTGCCTGAGCCCGCGGGTTCGAGACCCACCTGGGCAACTTGGCAAGACCTCATCTCTACAATAAATAAAAAAAAAAAATTAGCTGGGCGTGGTAGCACATGCCTGTAGTTCCAGCTACTTGGAAGGCTGAGGCGCCGGAGCCCAGCGGGTTGAGGCTGCGATGGCCGGGAGCGGCCACTGCACTCCAGTCTGGGTGACAGAGTGAGACTCCAACTCAAAAAAAAAAAAAAAAAAAAAAAAGGATAATGTCTTAATGTTTTTAGGACTTTTAGGACTTATATTTTAAACATTTTTTTAGGTGGGGGGGTTTCTCACTCTGGCTGTCTAAAAGTAGTTCAGAGTGAGGACGAGTGGGCCCGGCCACCCGACAGGTGTCTCTGCGAGCACTCCAGGCTGATGAGAGCCCATGTGGGGACTGACTTCCCGGGGCCCAGCAGGGGTACCTGGGTAGAGCCCGGTACGAGACCAGCCGGCCAGGGCAAGGTGAGAGCCAGGTGGGCAGGTGGGTGGCATGACCCAATAGGTCCAGGGTCACAACCTGGTACAGTTGGCCGCAGCTGCCCTGGTCCCTGGACCAAGAGGAGAGAGCTGAGGGGGGGAGCCCCCTAGGGAGGCCAGCTCCGTAGGAGCCCCCCATGGGAGACCCTTGGGCCACCTGGAGCACCCCAGCCACAAGGCTGTGTGGCCGCGTGGCTGTGGCCAGGTGACCACACTTGCTGGGTCTGAGTGTGAGCAGAGACATCTCAGGCTTGTTGGTTTGGAGTGAGACCCTTGTGCACAATCCCTGCCAGTGGTCGGGATGAGAGGGTGGCCGCATCCTGTCCCTCGAGGCCCTCTCTGCACCTCGCGGGCCAGGGCGGCAGCTCCGGGTCCAGACAGCAGGTGGCGCGTGTGGGCGCTGCTCCACCCGGAATGGCTTTGGGGAGTGGACCGCGGACGGCCCCTGGGACTGAACTCTGCGTCCAGTCACTCTCTGTCCACCCACTGCTTATTTATACAACACGCGCAGCAGGAACTTGGCCCCGAATGGGACTGACACAGCCACTGTCCACAGGGGCTCACGGGATGATGGGTGCAGGGAGGGGGAGCCCACTTAGGACAGGGCCGCCAGGAGGGACCTGCTTGATGCTGAGACCCTAAGACCCGAAGAGAGCCCAGGCGTGTCAAGCACCCAGGGAAGGAGGGACTGCGGCCCAGAGGAGGACGGGCTGGGGTGAGGGCCCGGCCTGGAGAGTGGAGGTGGGCGGGCCAGGGCTATCTGGGCTATCAGTGTGAGGCTGGCACCGGCCCCTGGCCCTTGACTGTGGGTGCCTCTACGTCCGAGGCTGGCTGAGGCGAGGGGCTCTCAGCGGCCTGCAGAGCTTGCCTCCAGGTGGGAGAGTTTGGGGCAATCTGTGCTTTCTTCTTGGTACTTTTCTGTGTTTTTCAGAGTTTCTGAAGTGACCTTGCATGGCTCAAAGCAGGAACATTTTGAAGTGGGCACGTCATCGGGGACCTACACAAGCGTGAGAAGCAGCCACACGGTGACAATGTGCCATTCCTCTCCCAGCCACTGTTTTTAGTTTGTTCTTTCTTTCCTTCCTTTTCTTCCCTCCCTTCCTCCCTCTCAGGATCTCACTCTGTCGCCCAGGCAGGAGTGCAGTGACATGATCATGGCTCACCGCCACAGCCTTGAACTCCTAGGTTCAAGCAATCCTCCTGCCTTGGCATCCCGAGTAGCTGGGACTACAGGGGTGCACCCCCACACCTGGCTACTTTTTTTTGTTTGTTTGTTTTTGGTAGAGACAAGGTCTCGCTATGTTGTCCAGGCAGGTCTCGAACTCCTGGCCTCAAGCAATCCTCCCATCTTGGCCTCCCAAAATGCTGGGATTAGAGGCGTGAGCCACCGCACCCAGTCACTTTTGGTGCTTTCTTGTGCATCCTTCCCAAGTTCATAGAAAACTCAGGCGACGTGGAAGCCCACTCTCTCCCACCGTTGCTTGCACAGAATGCAGTCTTCCGCAGACAGTGCTGGGTGACAACCTGGGCTCGTGTGCGCAAGGGGCTCCCAGCAGGGGTTGGCGGGCTGACCCTTGCGAGGTGGGCTTCACTCTTTCCTCCCGTGGTCTGTGTCCCCAAGTTGGAAGATGCCAACAACTGCTGCCCCCGCTGAAGACCCGCCCCTGGTCCCACCCCCTCTCCAGTCTTTCTCCTTTCCCCAGGGGCACAGTCCCTGAGGAGCCGTGAAGAGCAACCTCGGATCTGGCTCCCCTGCCCCCGTGGGCTGCGCTGGCTCTGGAGGTAAAGCCCTGGGGGCTCAGGTGGAGGGATTTCTGGCCCAGGGCTGGCAGCTGCCCTTTCTGGAAACGCTTCTGTCTCACGACTGCGGAGTCAGAGTGAAACTGACTTATTTCTAAAGTGGCAGCACAGGGCTGACCTTCAAACATCTGAAAGAAGAGAGGAGCAGAGGGCCAGCTCTTAGGGCGAGCGTGGAGACCGTTACCGTGTGAGCTGGGTCCTCCTGGGGGCAGCACAGGGTGCACAGGGGTGTCCCACACCCAGGATCCAGAGGGGCCCAGGGGAGCCTTCCTGCCCCCTGCCCCGTGTGCATGCTGGCCCTGCCGGCCCGAGGCCCCAGTGTGTGAAGGACGTGCGGTGTGGGCCTCTGCGCCTGAGGGGAGCTGGCAGTCACTGCCCTTCAGATGTGCCCGAGGCTCTGCCGGGCACAGAGGGCCAACCTGAGGATGGAGAAGCGGAGAGAAAGGCGGCCATGTCAGCTGTCGGGGTGGGGGTTCACCCGCCTTTGGGGGCCCTCGGGAGCTGTGGGGTCGTCCTCCCTGGCCGAGCGGGTGAGCCCCTGGCGTCTGCCACGGTCTCTGCTGTGGTCCACGATCAGGCCTACGCCTCCCTGTAGGGCCATCCTCGGGCTGGGACATGGAGGCCTGGGACTGCAGCAGCCTCTGTCCACCTTCAGGCCTGAGCTGCTGGTGCTTCCCACTGCCCCTGAGACCCCAGCCCTCAGGCAGTGGGAGGGCACTGGGCCCCCTCCCTAGCCTGTCCAGGGGCATGCCCTGCTGTGACAGGGTGACTTTTGCTTTCATTCTGGCAGGAAGTAACCCCGGCGGGAATCCCCTGAGCTGTCCAATGACCAGAGTGAGTCACCCCTTCCCAGAGCCAGCAAGCAAGGCGGGTCCCCAGGACCCAGGTGTCCTGCTTCCAAGCTGGTGGGTGGAGTGAGGCCGGCGACCTCCCAGCCCCTGGACGGCCTGCGGTCAGAACCAAAGACAGTTTCCCGGTCGGAGTGCTGGGGCGAGGACCTGGAGATCAGGGCGGTCACCGGTGCCTCCCAGTAAGGGGCTGGGAAAGCTTTTCTGGACGTGGGTGGGGCTGAGGCGGCCTCGAGCCCAGCCCTTTCACATGGCCACACCTACAGGACTGGGTAGGTCGGCCTCCCCCAGGGAGGAGGCCGCGGGGGAACGACTTTCCCCTTACCCTGAAGGAAGCTGGGAGCCCTACTGCAGGCGGACCCTGTCTTTATGCCGCATTCTCGGGGTGGCTGCGGGCTTCCCGGGAGGGGAAGCTTTACACCGCAGAGCTCAGTTAGTTGCCAGGCTTGAATGCAACCTCACTGACCCGGCAGGCAGGAGCTCAGAAGGTCCCAGGGCTGCTGTGGCAAACCCAGCCTCCGTGGAGGCAGGGGAAGTCCCACGGGCTGGCATTCTGTCGTCCCCCATCAACGCAGGCTTTGGGGAGGGGCGCTCCGACTCTCAACCAAAGGAGGACACGCGCAGCATGACGGCAGCGCCTCTGGACACGTAAGTGACGTGACCTCAGTGCCCGCCCGGCTTCTCGGTGCATCCCACGCCAGCGTCCCGTAGCTCCAGGCGACTCCCCTGCCGAGGCGGCCACGGGCTGGCCCCTCTGAGTCGCACCCTTTGCTGCAGAGCCGGAGAGAACAGCCCCACCTGTGGGACACCGGCCTGAGCCGAGAGGGTGCTTGCCCGGCACGGGGCAGAGCCCGTGTCCCCAGGCGCA